TGAAAAGTCACCGCACGGCTTGAAACAGTGTGTCAGGGTGTTTTTCATCTATAAAGGTTTGCAGTTAAAACCCACTGTGCACACTTTTCCCTTTAATCTTTGAATGGGCAAAATGGTTTCCCAAAAAGGGAAAGGGTTTTCCAGGTTACCCCCAAACCTTCAAATCTTTTTTAAATTTATACTAAATTCCACCCTTTTTAACAGGGTTGGCACTGGCTTTTGGGGCCCATGGTACTTTTTTTTCCAGAAACAGCACCGAAAACACTGTAATAATAAAAAATTTTTCCGAGTGTAGTTTGGTGTTCCCGGGAGGCTGGGGGTAAACAATGGGAGGGCCCGGCACAGTGGGGGCACATTGGCGCCTCGGACGAAAATGGGTAAGGGGTTTTTAAATCGTATGCGGGAAAAAAATTTTGCGAAAAAAGTAATCGTTATGCGGAAAAATCGCTATGTGTGCATCTTTTATGCGGGGGCCCACTGTACAATAAAAAGAGCTAAACAAAAAAATTTTAGTCCATAAAGCCACTTGCTTTCACTGGAAACAACTCATGAAAAGGAAAAAAACCGATTGAAAAAAAGAAAGGAAAATACAATTTAAAAAAATGACAAAGGAATGAAGGGGAAAAAAGAGATCATAGAAAAGACATTCCCCCCCCCCCCCCCCCAAAAAAAAAATAAGCTGTCAATGGCAAAAATATTGTAAAATACAAGAATACGTTTAAATTAACCCTTTGCTGTTTCAGGGCCCTCTTGAAAGTATTCATGTCCCCAAAATTTTTCGAAAAAAAAAAAAAATATTTTTTCTTATAAAATGTGGAAATTTTTTTTTATATGTTTTAACCCAAAAAAAAAAAATTTTGCCATAGTACTTACCGAATATAGGGCCGCAAAGTTTGCAGAAATTGACGGGCGTACGGAAAACACGGCGCTGCCCCCCACCCGGGTATTTTTATTTACTCAATTAAAAGGGTTTTTTGCTTTTTCAATTTTTTTTCTGTTCCAGGTAATTTATTGGCCTGGGGACCAATGTAAGGGCTTGTTCAAAAATACACTCTTATTTACAACACAATAACAAACAAACTTTATCACTTTTAGTTTGTGATACATTTGTTTAACAAACAAAAATTTCAAAACAAATTTTATTAAATTTTCCATAATATATAACATAGAATCCTAACCACGTTCCTAGAACGCTGCAGCTTGGGGAACTTTTTGAAACATGGAAAATTTGCAGAGGGCCTTCACACTCCCACACAAAAACGAGTGTTTTGCGGTTTGTGGCGTTTTGTGGTAAGCAAAATACATAACACCCTTCTGACATTTTCTTGGCAGTAGTAGGAGAGTTTGTAGGGGTAGTGAACCAGGCTCATACGAGATGACGTCTGTGGCGCTGGTCTTTTTGCGGAGTTCTCCTTTGTACTTTGCAATTATTTGTCTATTAATGACAGGCAAAATTCCCCATATTTGGGGTTTTTTTGGGTTTTTCAACTTGTATTGTTAAAACATTAGCATAGAGATATCAAAAAGATGGAAAAAAAGTTTTTTATACCACTTATAACTCTTGCTACACATCTGCAAACCCAATCTGAGTCACATTTGTCCCCTAAGCCAAAGAGGTTTTTGTCCATGACAGTGCAGGCTTTTGAAAAGGGTTTTTGGTCTCTCTGTTGTCCCTGCCACTGGGTACCATTTTTGTTTTTGTGAATGATGCAAAAAGTACATCACGTTTGTCATGCCCCCGAATGCCATGATGTCATTGGCGCAAAGGTTTCACCCCACCCGCGAGTCCACGTCAAACCTTGGGAAAGTTTGCATTTTTCCACGCACTGTGCCACAACGTTTCAAGTTCACTCGCAAGAAACACTGTGTAAGGGGCTTGTGTAGGGCAGATCGTAAAAAACAAAGCCCCTTACCAAGATATGGGTTTTTTTCGCCCATCAAGGTAAATAATTCATGGTTTTAAAGATTTTGATGTACACAAAATATCCAAAACTAACATTTTTTAATCAAACAGTACAAAACTTTTACCCAAACTTTTTTTGCTGGTTATTGCTTGATGAGAGCTTTCCAATAAAACAAAAAGGGGCCCTCAATAAAAATTCCAAAGGGGAAAAATTTTTGCAGACTTTTTTTTTAGGAAAAAACACTTTTTACAATAACCCCCTTTGTCAGGCCCGGTTTTGTCGAAAAAGGTAAATACGCAACTTTTTCAGGAAAATAACCAAATTTCACTAAAACCCCGGTTTTCAGGGCGTTTTGTCCAATGTTGTACGGTGCTTATACACATTGGATAAGCATTATTGTGGGAAAAACAGGGTTTTTAAAAAACTTTGCCCCAGTTGTCTCCTTCCACTTGTGTAGCCGTGTTTTGGTGAGAGAATTGTATTTGCCATGGTGTAATCACATATGTAAAATTTTTTCCCTGACAATGATGTCCATCAGGGGTTTATCGAAAAATAATCAAAGCGTCCCGTTCACTGGCATTGTTCCAAATGGACAGAGGGTTTATTCCATTGTGTTTCATCAAAGTCATGGGGGTGGGGGAAAAAACCTCACCGTCCGCAATCCCCCGATGCGGTCTGCTGGTGGGGGCTGGATATTGACCGTGGTTGGGCTGGCAGGTTGTGGTGGGGCAGGTTGGGCAGTGGGGTAGGGGGAGGCGGTTTTTCTGCTGAGTCAGCCCGTGGCTATAGCGTGGCCCCCGGTATGGTGCCACATGGGCCTGCCCCCCTCCTATCACCCCCCACTGCCTCCTCCCACTGTCACCATTCAAACCCCTCGTTACAATATCGTCATCTTCCTATCAGGTCGTGGTGTTGGGGGCCCCGGGGTGTGTCCCAAGTTTCTCCTTCCCCCTTTGGGAAAAAATATGAAACACTACCAACCGATGCTACGTCGACAACGGCGCTTCACTGGGGAATATTCACTCTCACTGTCAGTAGAATGCTTTAAAAAGACCTTGAAAACACATCACTACACTATCATGCATCTCAGGTGTTGACACGCCAAAAAAGTTTCCTCTTTCCCTGGTCGGCAACGTGAACGGAAAAAGCCGGCACAGCACCAGAGGTCGAAGGGTTTTGGGGGCATTGGGGTTTTTGTCACTATTTACGTTATCCCGGGCACTTTTTTTTTGTAACACTCATTTAAAACCCTTTAATTCACTGTCACTACACTTTTATCGCTGTTAGACTATCACTTGGGGAAAAAAAGACCTCAATCCGCCGAGGAGTGAGGGAAATTCTTACCGAGAGGCAAGGTGAAAATGGACTACAACATGGGGTTCCCCCAAAAGCACCGCTAGGTCCCCGATTTTTTTTACAGGTTCACACCAAACCCCTGAGACCATTCTCTCCCCCTGTAGGCCCCACCAGGCCCTTTGGCGCTCGATTTGAAACCGCTAGAATTTTTTGCGTATAAATACTCAGAACATTGGCTCGTAAGACGTATTTAACTCGGAACATCAAAGGGTTTAAAAAATGTCATATTTTGGTACTTCTGCTTTTTTCTGTCACAAGTTAAATACCCCCTTTACCTATTACATGTACTAACACCCTTATCCTTTTTTGAAAACAAAGTTAGCTTTGGTTAAAATGTTGGGGAAATTTAAACCCAAAATTTTTACTGCCCGCCCAAAATTTAATTGATTTAATGAATTTTCAAAAGAAAGATGTAAAGTATTTAGATATCTAAAAACTATACAGTACTCTCATGTCCATGAAAAAACCTAAACCTAATACATGTACAATAATGCCCAGAACAGATATTCTAGCTTCTAAAAGCACTGTACAGTATAATGAACTGCCATTCTGTTCAAATTGTTATTGTACAACAAAGCCTCAATTGGTAGAGAGAGAAATCCTGATCTATAGTTCTGCACTCCACAATGCATCTTGTCTTAGGAAGATTGGGTGAAGTGTTGAACATGACAGATAGTATATGCAAACATTCCATCCAATTATCTCTATTTCTTTAGGGATAACCTATTCAGCCATAATCTTGGGCACCAATTAAATAGCAGTGATCAAAGATTATATTCAGAGAACTATTGTAAAGGGAAATATGAAACATTGAAATCAACTTTACAATTAAAGTGCTAAGAAGTGTCGCTCCATTTCTGTATATAAAAAGTTTGTTCAGAATCCATAGTAGCTGAAACTACAAGCAAAATTTATATCACACATCCTAATACATAAAATGCAATTTATGTCATGCATCCATAACATCTCTGCTATAACAATTATTTTAAAGAATATAACTTCTCTATAAATGTTAATTTTAAGAATTATGCAGATTATCTTCATTTAAAATTAATTATAAAGCAAAATATTGTTTAGATACACTAGAAATATGTCCTTACAAAATGGATGCTTCTGCTTGTTCATAAGGACAAACATAAGTAACTCTGTATATATAGCTTACTTTAGTGCCAAAAAATTCTCTTGTCTATAGTGTAATTACCAATATATTAAGTAGATTTAATCATTAGGCTTTCATAAGATCTTTTTTCTAAGGTTGATTTTCAAGTCTAATGATTAAATTGAACGTCTATTATAATATAGAGTCATATAAATTTCTAAAATATTTTTCTGAGCATCAGCAGTGATGTGCTTTGCATATACAAGTGTGCACAATTTATGATTACTGAGGCAGGACTTAAGATTAAAATAAAGGCTCACACTAGATCCCAGGCTTAGGCTCTATCAAAAATTTACTCTCACAAAGAATGATACTAAGAAAAGCAAAATAAGAGGCAACTTTCAGAAAGGTAGACACAGAAAATGCTTATAATAAGATGATAGTGATACACAATTTTACACTGACTATAAATATCAACAAACTTTCTGAATGTAAACTATGAGAGTAATTATTTGATTATGCAAAACTTGAAGTTGCTGTTTATCTGATAAAGTGGTAGAAGATTAAGGTCATTTAAGCATTTGCAGCCAAGCATAAAAATGTTGTGAAATAAGAAAAAAACAGTAAATCTACTGACTAACCAGTGTTGCGTCTCACAGACGTTGATCGTACAACACTTCGCCGGTGCATTGCTGGAGAGTCATGATGACTACTAGACCTACTGCCTCGTCCACTTGAAGATTCACTAAAAGAGGAAACCTGCTCAATTAATTATCATTTGAAAGCTAATAAGTTAATAAATACTGTAATGAGCTAGTTAACAATTAATGTATTTTAGACACTGAAAGAAGAGACTGCATGGATCAGTTAGCTAAACTGTATCCAAATGTGAACTGTTAATAAGTACCATAACAAAAAATGATCAAGTAAAAATTTTATTTGTATTCATTAATTCGTTCATTCCCTCTTTCTTTCTCATTCTCTCTCTCTCTCTCTTTTTCTCATTCTCACTCTCTCTCACACTGTCTCTCTCTCACTCTGTCTCTCACACATTCTGATACCAATTACATTTCAAGCTAAATAGGAAATACATGAACCAAGCTTTCCCAAAAACTGCAAAAGGTAGTTCTACTAACAATTCATGCAAAACAAGGTAAGACAACAAGCATAATGTCATACTTCACCCACATAACAGCACTTGGTAAGATATAAAACAATGACTCTTAAATAAGGAAAGCTGTGTAGTTTTTATTGCCAAGTGAAAAATGTTATTATTTCACATACTTTTCCACAAAATGAGTGAGATAAAATGGGTATTACTTGAGTTGATTCAAGTGCAGTGAATGACAGGCCATAAAAAAAGAAAAATACAGATGTTAAATTAGATGTAGCCATCAGCTGATCACATCAACCATTCTTGTATATACTGTACTACAGTATTATGCACTCACCATGCCTGCTACTACCTCACATGATGTATATATTGAAGAATTGCATGTATCTTGACCACAAATTGAAAGCCCCTTCTTTGTCAGAATTATTCTACAAATAATGATCCCCATAAAAAAAAAAAAAAAAAAAACTGACGTAATACTTTTGGAATTAGGCAGGTGTGAAGTTGGAAGTTGGGGAACACTTTGTGCTACAGCAATTTTACCCCTTTGAGGCCTTTTCTTTTTAGGCCATTTCCAGTTTCAAACCAACCCAATTCTTAGTATGCCTTCAGTACTATCCACTGATCCATAGAAACTGCACTTTCAGTCATCAGAACTGCCCTATTAAGTGCCTGGTAATTTATCCAATTTTACACCATTTTCAACAAATTATGATTAAAACAACAAGTCCAAAACAAATACTGTAGGCATTCCAGCCACTAAAATAACCCTCCTATTCATTAATCAAATCCCCAGGCCTCTCCCATACTTCACTTATTCTCCATTTTGAATCCATTGTCAAACAAATTGACCCTTTCCCCCAATTTGACATCTATTTCAGCCCACCCTCCAGTCTTCAGCAGATCAAAATCTTCAATTTCACTAGTACATCTTCTGATCTATCTATTGGCACCAAAAAACAGCCAGGAAAAATACAAAAACTATCCTAAATATACCCCAAAGTTGCTATTTTAACGTCTGTCAGGATTATGATTATACTGCACACACCTACTACACAGACCCATTTTCTCATGTCTAGGACCAAATTTGCCACTCACAGGATATGTGAGGGTATTCCGAGTTATGCATAGATCTACAACACCTGCGATGATCCCATTGATGTAGATTTACGAGACCACCAGTTTAGCTGTTATAAGAGAACAACACCTACATTCATCAGCAAGTTCTGTAGCATGTCACCTTCTTATTTCCCCCTAGCCTTTATTAGGTTCAAAGTTTTTTGGTTCTGTTGTGCACTACCCAGCAAAACTAGTAAACCACTATACAAGCAGCTAATACAATATAACTAGCTGTATTATTTAGTCAAATAACTAAAAAGAAGAAGAAAAAATGTGTGGAGAAATGCTGAGACAATACTATAAAGAATAAAGCTTTAGTGTGTGAGCCAAGACACTACAATATAGTATTAAACTGATTAAGAAAAATGTGAAGCCATGAAATTATTTTAGATAGCTGGCTGAACAAAGGCAGTGAGAAATTTCAAATCATAAGTGCTCTAACCCTTTTGGTGTCGAGACCCCTGTTCACAAACTTGCTCTCAGTGCTGAAGAATTAAAAAAAAAAAAAAATCTTATGAAATGATAGAGAATCTTTTCCCGATGGTAATGACACCAAAAGTACAAAATTTGATGGAAAACTCATGGAAGTACGCTCTCACAAAGTTAGCGGCCTTGGCGATATTTACACATTGGCAATTTTGCCCACATTGAGCCCTATTCCATTGTTCCAGTCGACCAAACTCATGGCTATTTCACTAGAACTCCTTTTGTTCTATCGACTGTGTACAAGAAACTGCCCATTTACTAATTTCAACTAACCAATAAAGTGATCAGAATTTACTAATCTGGCCAATTTCATACACAATTCAAGGAAGGCCAATTTCAAAATAGGGTCCAGAATTAACAAACATTCCTAGCACTAAAATAACATTTTCTCTGTTCATTAGTAATGACTCCAGGCCTCTCTTATATTACGCTTGCTTTCCATTTTGAATATTTATCCACACCAAAAATAAAAGATTTACTGTTATGCGGACTGCTGCATTACTGTATAAATGGTATAAATAATATCAGCACATTTGTGAAAGCATATTAGATCCACCAGTTGACGTGTATTGGATGTGTTACGTGATTTGTTTACTCTCGAACATCGGCAAAAATCGAACATTTCCGCTACTCTGAGCTCAATTTCAAGGTACTTTTACTCTGTAAACTATTCAAAATCATCTCTAGTTCTGTAATACACGTACCTTCCATCCTATCAAATGAGACGAAGAAAACCAGAATACAACCATAAATACCATATGAAAATACACTGCAAAGTTGCTGTTTTAAATGAAAAACATGGTCGGATGTTTTTTATACTGTGCACACTGACCACTCAGACCCATTCATTCATATGTAGGCCTACCAGCTTTCTCCCACAAGACTTAAAGCTGCTGGAATTTTGGTGTACTATTACGGGACCGACACTGGCTTGCAAGCCGTAATATTACGGGACCAACAGTGAAAGGGTTAAATATCTTGGTAAATGCAAAAGCTACTGATCCCAACTTTAATACGTATATGGTTACAAGAGTTTTGATCTTGCTAGGCATAAATAAAAAAATAGCAGTAGCTGAAGAACTCTAAGTTTGTTTGACACCCTCTATTTAACACTGACATGAAAATAAAACTAACACTAAACACTCAATTTAATGGACTTTGAAAATATGAGATATGGAAACAACAGACAAAATCCATTGGCTGCAGAACTGTCTAATGCTGTTATGATCCAGCAAAATCATCTCTTTTCTATTCACCACAATCATCGTTACCAGTCACCTGCTCTTCCTTAGTTCGTAAAATTTAAGCTTCCTGTACACCTATCAAGTGAAGTTTACATACAGATACAAGCTTTGGTAATGTCCAATGCAACCAGGAATTTTGAAGAAAACAGATGAATAAAAATATAATTTGCTTGTTCTACGATTTTTTTACAGATTTATTTCATAATTTTGAAGGCACTATGGTCGAAAGTACAGTATATGGCAAATAAGATTATTCCATTTCATTTAAATTCAGCCAAGTACAGCTAAGATGCTTACCTAACATCCTGTCCATTAACAGAATGTCTGAGATCATGCTGATGTTGTTTCGCCAACTGGAGAATTTTGGCTAACTTATCATCATCATCAGGAAGGTCTGCACCTCCCCATCCTCCACCAGCAAGGCAAACGCCTGACAGGTACTGAACTAGTGCAGCGTGCTCTCCTACCTGAAACCCACGCCCTTTACCCTGAGAGTACAGCCACTCTGCTTTTAAGCTGAAAAAAAAGGGCACAAAAAAAAAAAAATGTAATTTTTCAATTGATAATAAAAGTTTCAAATTTATTTTCAATATGAATATTTCCTTAATACTGTACTGTACTGCTTAGCTAGTGTAGCAAAAGTTTGTGGATATAGGAGGGTGGATGCAGGAGGGAAGAGGAGCAACTGGTGAAATGATGAGGCAAAGAGGGTATAAGGGAGAAAAAATTGGTATATATGAAAGGTTTAGCAGAGTAGAAGTAATATACGTACTGTACAGAGGGAGGAGTATTGTACTATGGAATGTAAAAGAGAGGTTAAAAAGAACTGTGAGGGAGTTCAAGAGTTAATGAGAGTGTGGGAGAGGTTTTATTAACAAGCTTTGCTGAGAATAAGAAAAAAATTTGGAGTGAAATCAATAAGTAGAGAAAGCCTAGAGAACAAAATCCATTAACAGTTAAAACACACACACACACACAAAACAGGGAGCCATTAGATGGGGAGTTAAGAGATACTGGGAAGATGGAGTTGCTGATGAAGAGGGAGAGGCAGTGATTTCCTGCACTGAGCAGGGAGATATATTATCTTTTAAGAATGAAGAAGAGCCAGGTGAAAATGTGGGAGAGGAGAATGAGGTAGTGAGCAGAAAGAAAGAAAGAGAGTAAAGCAGCTGGGAAATATAGGATTAAGATGACAAAATGTAAAAAGTAAGTGGGGATGTAGTTCTGAAGTGGTTGGTGTACCTGTTCAATACATGCATGAAAGGGTGGAAGGTTCTTAGGATTGGCACAACACACACAAAGGGGAAAAAGGGGATAAGCCTATTGAGTATACCAGGTAAAGTTTATGGTAGAGTTATTAGTGAAAGAATTTAAACAAGACTGAGTAGGACTTTTCATGACATTTGTGGATTTAGATAAATCATATGATAGGGAGGCTTGGGGAGGAATGTGGCAGATGCTGCCAATATATGGAATATGTGGTAGGGTGCTTAAAGCATAAAGAGCTTTTACAAGGATAGCAAGGCTCAAGTTAGGGTATGTAGGAGAGAGGGAGATTATTTTCCAGTAAAAGTAGGCTTTAGACAGGGATGTGTGATGCCATCATGCTTGTGTAACATATTTATTGATGGGTTTGTAAAAGAAATGAATGATAGCATGTTGGGAGAAAAGAGGGACTGAAAGACGGTGAATCTGGTACAGAGTAGGATTTGTCACAGATGTTTTTTGCCAACACAGTTCATTGGGAAGATTCTGAAGAGAAGTTGCAATGATTGATAAATAAATTTGGAAGGGTATGTAAAAGAAAATTAAACGTGAACATAGGAAAGAGCAAGATGATGAGAGTATCATCAATTATAGGCAATGAGAAACTGGATATTAGATAGGAGGAAGTATGGAGGAAGTAAATGTGTTCAGATATTTGGAAGTGGACTCATCAGCAGATAGTTCTGTGATAGACCAGGTAAACCATAGAACTGATGGAGGTAAAAAGGTGTGTGGTGCATTTAGGTATCTGTGATGAAGAACTTTATCCATGGAGGGAAAAAGGGGAATGTATGAGAGTATAGTGGTAGCAATAATGTTGTATGGTGTGAAGCATGGGTTCTTAACCTTTTCAGGGTCGAGAGGCCCTTTCCTACACTTGTTCTCAGGCTCGAAAATTTTTTGGAAAAAGAAAAAAAATAATTTTTTTCTTATGAAAAGATAGAGAATCTTTTCCCGATCATAATGACACCAAAAGTATGAAATTTGATGGAAAAATTGTTGAATTTGCAGCGAGGAAGAAGCTGCAGGCAGTGGAGATGTCGTGCTTGGCAGCAACGTACGATAGGAATAACATGCACAGAATTGGAAGTTTAACTGTTAAACTGTCCAAACGTAGATCTACGTTTTTTCAACATTTGAAAGTATGTAAAAAAACGTAATCTTTTTTTTTTTTTACATTTGAAAATGTGTAAAAAAAACTTTGATCTACTTTTTTTTGTTATATTTGAAAATATGTAAAAAACGTAGATCTACTTTTGGAGCACTACGCATGTGAATGTAGATCTATGTTTGGAAAGCTTAAGGGTTAAAGAGCAGAAGGAGATGTGGATTTACCAAAAATATTCTTCAGAGGATTGTGGAGGAGATGATGATGTGGTCAGGACATTTAGAAAGGATGGAGAAAAATAGATGACTAGGAGGGCATATAAATCTGAGATGGAGGAGTTGGAGACATTCTAGAAAAGGCTGGAGGAAGGGGGTAAAGGAGGTTTTCAATGCTAGAGGCTTGAACATTAAACACACGTGTGTGGCATGCTAAACAGGAATGGAGGAAATAGGTTTTTATGATATGACGTGTTGTTGCATTATGCGCAAGGTAAGATTTATGACAAGATTCAAGGGAAAACTTGTTAATCAGACTTGAGTCCTTGAAGTGGAAAGTATAGTGCCTGCATTCTGAAGGAGGTGTAGGGATGTTGTAATTTGGAGGGTCATCTGAACTATAATGTCAGTACATTTCTGGCAAGACAGTACTTGAATAAATAACAATGAAGGTGTTTTGTTCTCAACTCTTTCACTTTCTTCCATAAAAATCTACATTACTGATGCCAGTGTTGCTCATGTTGATCTGTTTTAAGAACAGTGCTCTAAAATATGCCACAAGCAGTAAATTTTGGCCTAGACATGAGACTGAGGCTGTGTGTTAAGTGTACACAATATAAAAAAACTTCTTACCCCATGTAGTGAATGATGGGAAATGCACACCTCTGACCTTGTGTTTGGTTTAAAATAGCAACTTTGAGGTGTTTTCTAGGTTGATTTTTGTGATATTTATTGGATGCTTCTTGGTATGAAATGACAGAATGGAAGACATACTAGTGAAATAAAAATTATTTTGGTTTGTTTACAGACTGGAAGTAACTTGAAACAGGGCTCAAATTGGTGAAAATGTTAAATTTTTGAGGAAAGGTAGCCCCCCCCCTTTTGTTCTAAGAGGTTTTACTAAGTCTACTTCAATTATTGGGAAACAAACCATGATTAATCATTCTTGGTTATATTTTATTACCAGAGAAATAGGGTAAAACTTCAGTTTTCTTTTGTGTGTGTGACGATGGATTTATAATAGTAAATTTTTTATAAGAAAGGGCTACGGGCATAATTAATGAACAGAGGGAAGTTTTTTTTTTTTAGTGGCTGGAATGCTTATTTTGTATACTACTTTTAAATTGGAATATATTGACTTGTGTAAAAACAGCCAAATTTCCAATTGTGCACTTTGTGGGATAATTCTGATAGTTGAAAGAGTTTCCTGCATTCAATCAATAGAACGGAAAGAATATTAGCAAAATAATTCGAAATTTGGTGGAACTGAGCAATGGAATTTGATAAAACAGGACTCAAAGTGAACAAAATTGCTGATGTGTAAGTTGTGTCCAGGCTGTCAATTTTGCACCTTCACAATTCCATAGGTTTTCAATTCAGTTACTAATTTTTGGTACCATTATCTTAAGAAAAAAATTCTGTTTCATTTCAGAAGAATTTTGCTTATTTAGAAAATTCTGATACTGTCATCACTTCTAATTTTTGTGGCTCACAACAGTGAAAGGGTTATGTTTACTTTCAGTCTTATTTTTTTTTTAACTCATTGGCTCTAAACCAAGGGAGACTGAGCCAAAAATACACCATTACTAACTATCCAGTTGCCTTTACAGAAATCCAAGACAATACTGACCTACTGAAATGCAATATTCCCCATCTCATTTTTAAAGTACAGGCACTGTACTTTCCAACCTCAAAAAGACAGGTTGGGCCAACTTTTCTAGAATCCCTCTTTAGATTTTAACATACTCACACTCCAATAGCATGTCATATCACATAACCCACTGGCATCCATTCATTCTGACTGAACAAACTTAAATATGCTATGAAGTAAATTTTTTTAATTTTTAGGATCAAATACTATTTTCTTTCCAATGGTAATTACCCCCCCACACAAAAAAAACTTCAAAACCATATTTATGTCTGCCCCTTAACCCTTTCAGGGTCGGTATCGTACTAGTACGGCTTGCACGCCAGGGTTGGTGGAATATTAGTACAGTGGAACCCCGACATTCGATGGCATCGACATTCAATGCACTTTAACGCAAAATTTTTGCCTCGACATTCGATGGAAAACCCGACATTCGATACGATTCGTACGAGACATGTCCACGTGTGGCCTGAGCTGCCCCGTGTGTGCCAGCGTTTACAAGCCAGCCAGTGAATGCGCATCTAAGGATACATTCGGTACATTCCATATTATCACTGTTTTTGGTGCTTGTTTCTGCAAAATAAGTCACCATGGGCCCCAAGAAAGCTTCTAGTGCCAACCCTGTGGTAAAAAGGGTGAGAATTAGTATGGAAATTAAGAAAGATTTTGAAGGGTTTGGGGCTAACCCTGAGAAGCCTATGCCAGTTGTGGACTCCATTGTGCCTACTTAAAAATTAAGGAAATGTGTGCAAAGTGGGTTGAACTGCAAACCTTTATGGATGAAAATCACCCTAACACAGCTACTGCAAGCCGTGCTGGTGACTATTACAATGATAATGTTATGGCCCATTTTATACAAATCTTAAAGGAATGGAGACAGAGGTCCAGTGACTCTCAAGCTGGTCCTAGTGGCATTAAAAGAAGAAGGGAAGTAACCCTGGAAAAGGACTTGCTACATCAAGTCCTAATGGAAGGGGATTCCCCTTCTAAACAGTAACAACTCTGACACTCCCCCCTCCTCCCATCCCATCAATCATCACCAGATCTTCATTAAAAGTAAGTGTCAATTATTCTATTGTTATTATTCTATTGTTATTGTTGTTACTGTAATTATTCTACTGCATTAAACTTAATATTTCATGTGGTAAATTTTTTTTTTCATACTTTTGGGTGTCTTGCACGGATTAATTTGATTTCCATTATTTCTTATGGGGAAAATTAATTCGACTTTCGATATTTTCGACATTCGATAGCTCTCAGGAACGGATTAGTGGACCCT